GCTTGGCGCGGGCGGTTCGTGCTCCCCTGGCTCCGGAGCCCGGCGGACCCCCCGGACCCGGGATGCTGTTGGCACCGCCTGCTCGGGCTGCAGCACACACGCCCTGGTGATTCCCACCTCTTACCAGCTCCATGTGCCGCTGCCCTTCAGGGGGACTCACTGTCCGTGTGTCCCACTGGCGTTCAGAGGTCGGAAGGGCTGCGTTTGGTGCCACCCGTATGTCCTGACACTGCAGCTCAGGCCGTGGCAGGCAGTAGGAGCCAAGCCTCAAGTGATAAATTCCCACAAGAGCATGGAAAATATTGTGATACTTTGAAATGCTGTGCCAGCTCCTGTTGGACACTTTTTTTTTTCAATGCATGAGCATGCCAGTATTCTTCAGAAGCTGAGCATAAACCTGTTTCAGATGATGTATTTTGAACTTCTTTTGTACCTGTCTTCCCTAGCCTAACTGCAGCAGGTATGGTCTGCCTGGATGTCCACGGGACTACCATCCCGTTTGTGGCACCGATGGACAGGTCTACGCAAATGAGTGTGTGCTCTGCCTTTCAAACAGGTAGTCACTTAATTGGCATCTAATCTTTCCTTCTCTGTTTGCAAGCAGGATATTCACCCTGACATCCCAGCTAACTGACAGATCATTCTTTGGCTTTGGAGCATTCGCACTGTTGCACTATGGTTTCAGCAGTGTCCTCTCAGCTGTGAATCCCTTGCAACAGATTTTATTATGCTACCTGTCTAAAAATCAAGAAGAAGTTTGCCTGATATTTGAGAGAGGATATTTTAGTCTTTAAGAATTTAATAATTTTTAAAAACAAATTGAAAGCACAGAAAATCAATATGTAATGAGCATTGTTACTCCCCTTTATAATTGACTGGAAACCTCTATATGCAGTGTTCTCTCAGAACAGGCTGAGAGGAACTGCTTGTGAATGGAATTTTGATGATGAAAGGTGATTTATATTAATGAAATATCAGGTTTTCTGTTTCCAGCAGAGGTAGAAGTGAGAGTAGCAGAACAGCTGTGATGGGCATTTACAAAATTATTAACAGATAGATCTCAGGAAAGGGAAGACTGAAACATGTTTCTGACTTTGGGACAGGGGAAAGATTAATTGTGACGAGATAATTTAGAAAATTCAAATGACCAAGATAGAGGGAACATAGGCCAGAATAAGGAAAGTGTCAAAGGACACTTTAGGAAATATTTTAAAGAAAGTGCTGAAGTATGTCATGCAGCTCTGCAGAATTTGCTAACATTTTCACCAGAGTACAGCACAAACTACCCAAGCAAATGGCAAATTGCAAGGACAATTGATAAACCCACAGTTTGGAAAAGAAGGAAAACAGGGAATCAAAATTCATATACTGTACAGTCTGTGAAAAGGGGAGAAAAGAAGTTCTGGCACGTTATGTATTAGGAGTCGACCCATCTTTGCTGCCTAGAATGATGTTGGAGTAAGTGACTGGCTTGCACATAGCTAGAAGTAAAAAAGAAAGTAAGCAAAGCTGATACAGATTTGCCAGAAATAATCCAATCACATCCATGAGATTTAGTTTCTTGGCAAGACAACTGACCAAGCAGCTGCATGACATTAATAAGACATTTTACGTATCTTCACTTGACATTCACATAAGCAGACAAATAGTTATTCAGCTGAAATTGTTAAAGGGTGAAGTTTGAAATGCTGTGGTTCAAAAGCAGCGATGAGCATTTTACAGTCAAAGTGGAAAGAGCTATTAAGTGCATTTTCCTTTAGGTGTAGTATATTATTCAGTATTTTTGTAATTAAATTGGGTATAGGTAACAAGGCAATTAAAACTGCAAAATGACATGAGATACAATGATCTGTGCAGGACAGTATCAAAATTCCCAGGGATCTGGAGAAATGGACTGAAATCAGCACAATAAAAGACAAACAGAAGTGCTAAATATTGCCCATAGAAACTACAAATCTGTATTGTGGAGATATAGGCAGGAGAGCATCTCATGACCTAAACAGTATCTTTGGTCCTTTCAGAGCAGAAGGACGATGGGCTTTGAGATCCAGCCTTGCATTTCTAGCATGATTGATTTTTTCAGGCTTGATCCTTCAGTTCTAGATTAGGTGCATGGTAGATTCCTGAATACAGCATTGCACACAGAACAAAGGGTTCTCCAGCCAAATCTGCCATTTATTTCAACTCCTTCAGTAATACTTTAAGTAATTTGTGATGGGCCTTATGTCTTTTTTAGTATAAGATCTAATGTACATGTTTTGTGTGATACATAGGATTTAATCCATTACAAACACAAGACAGAATTTTATCTTAACCATCTTTTTTATTGTCTTCTTACATGCACAGAAACTTGCATTTTGATCTGAAGGGACACAGGGTGGTCAGATACTATCCTGATTTTTTTTCTTTAATAGTTCAGTAATTGGCATATTTGAGGGCCTTCTAGTTCAGTTGGGGGTTGTTCTAAAGTGTTTGACTTGGCATGAACACAACACAGGTAAACCACTTTGCCTTATTGGAAGAATTTCAGCTTTGAAAAATAGTTCATGGTTATAAGCAATGGTCATTTCACTCTAAGGAGTCTAAGGTACAGTCTGTCCCACTCCTAAGGAAAGGAGAACAAAGAGATCTTTCTGCCCTGCTTAACAAGCTGCATGACCAGTTGCTGAAATAAATAGTGTAATGTGGTGATATAGAAACAGCTATATGGGCATATCCAATACTAAAGTACAAACCAGTCACTTGTCAGTTAATTTAGGTGATTCTCAACAGCCAACTTGCAGGCTAGTTCCAACTCATATGTAAGCCCATGAAAGGACTTTTCAGAAGGAGTTGTACTTTCCTGATGGCCAAGATAGTGCTGTCTGTGGGCTCCTGGAGAGAGCCCTGTGTGCATCAGTACTGCAGGAAAGCTTGCTGTGGCTGATCCATGATAACATGAGACAGCTGGAGCAAAAATGAAGCACAAACCCTGCCCATCTTGGTTCTGCAGTGAAGCCCCTTAACTGTAAGACCAAAGTTGATCTTCCTGTTTGCCTATTGTTTTTTCTTTTAAAGCTTAGATCTAATCCATTCTTGAGTAGTTGCTCAAATGGAAATCCCAGCTCTCTTCCACACTTAGTGTCCACTAGCAATGACAACATCTGGTCTTAATTTAAACCTAGTCTGACAGCACCACAAGCTCTTTGGAAACAGATGCAGCAGCTTGAGCTGCCTCTGCAGGGTTTAGTGTCAGGGCTGTCCTTCAGTCAGAACTTTTCCTTACAACTTTACAGGTGTTTTACATCTCCAGGGCTTGATTTTTCCTTTCATATTCCTAATCTGCTCCTCTATCTTCTGTTTAAAAGATCCCTGATACAACTATTAGTACAGATTATCCCTGCTTTTGGGTAATCATAAGCATCTTGAATTTCATGAGGAGTAAAACGCTCGATTCTATTAAGATAGGGAAGTGAACCGAAGATCTAGGACAATTTGCATTCTATTACTTTCTTTTTGTATCTTCACTTGCCTGGTAAATTGAAATTTGTAAATGGAGTGCCCCAAAATACGATGTATAGGACTTCTTTCCTACAGGACTTAAAAAAAAAAAAAAGTAGTGTTCCCAAAATAAGAGAAGCTTGGCTAAAACTTCCTTAAAGAAGATTTTGGTGTTCAGAGAACCATGCATTCAAATTTTAGTGAAGCCTCAGATGCAGAAATGCATCAGGATGCAGAAATGCATCAGGATGCACACCCTTCCAACTGAATTCCCATGTGAAAGGGGGAATTTTGTAAGCATTAGAACTGGTTCCCACTTCAGGGACTGTAAAGTTTAACTTGCACGAGTGCTTTGTAATGGATGCATTAGTTCTCCTGGTGAAATTTGTCATGTGGTTTGATAGTTCTTAGATTTGCAGATGGTTTTATCAGGTTTTTATAGGTAACAAAGCCTGATGTGAGTCTGCTTCTGGTAAGTTACTTGCTCTGTGTATGTGGTTCATAAGTCTGCATCACAGTTACTTTGTGGTAATGCTTGCAGTAAGTGATGCAATAAATGCATCACTGCATTTAGCTGAACACATAGAAAGACATGGAAGAGTCCATTTCATAAAAATATCTGTAAAATTCAAGTGTAGTGTTTCTCTTCTAAAATATTTTTTTCTGCTTGCAGTGAAAATAACAAGGATGTCCAGATTGTCAAAGAGGGAGATTGCTGATATGGCAGATGGCCACTTTTCAAGAAATGAGGACACATACAGTCCGAATGGAAACAGTGCCTTAAATGTACTTTCTATGTAGCCTGTCTTAATAAATAAGTTTGCCTGTTCAAACTACTGTTACTGTATTAAAATCAGTGTTTATAAACATAGCCATAATACAGTTATAACCTGAACCCTGATTTATTTTCTTATGAAAGCTGGATCTTAAGAAAGAGATGTTCTGACTCTATACCGGTAGGTCAGTTGTTTGGAGAAGGAAGTGAATAGGTACCCAGTGCCATTCCCACAGCCCCACCTAGGATCAAGGAGGCCCCAGCACCTGTTGCAGGCAGTGCTCTTTGATTCTGGGGTATTCTGAGCCCACAGGTGCCATCAACCCCTGGGGGCCACTGGAGGCTACCGAAACTGGTGATGGCAGCCTGACATGTACCAGGCTTCTGCCCCTGGCTCCCTACCTGCAGGACCTGATGGTGGAAGGCAGCGACCTGGGCATCCTCTGCTCCTGCTCCAAGTAAGGGCTATTTTGGAATGCTGGAGGCATGGACATGCACTGCCCTCCAGGTCCCCATCTTTCTGGGCTCTGGTCCCTGGGACAATGGTGTCACCACCCTGGCTGGCACTCAAGAGCCACTTCCCATACCCATCAAAACAAAAACTGGAAAGCTCAAGACTCATGTACAAAGATGCACTCCAGAGTGGGTCTGGTGGACCTTCCCACAGAGAAAGTATGTGAGCACAGGGCTTTGGTCATTTCTTTGCACTTGTCATGGATATGGACACATAGCTTTAGGTTTGTTCCCTTCTGTACTGCTAAACACCTTTTTTTCTGTATTTTGCATGAAATAGACTGTATTTGGTTTGTGCTACTGAGCTTGGTAATACACAGATGGCTTCTACTTTTGATCTGAGCCAAGCAGCCCTGCTCTAGCCCTGGTCCCAGACAATGGCTTTGTCAGGCTTTGCTGGGCAGCTGCAAGCACAGGCAGAGATGTACAGTACACTTCATGCCTGAGGAACATTCTCAGGTCAGTGACTTCAGTTTTGAAAACAATAATGCTTTTGTCTAACAGTTCCTTCAAAGGGTCAAAGCTATCCTTGCCTTCCCACACATCTGTTTTAATTTTCTCTAAGCATAGACTAATCACTGATAAAGGAATGTCATGTGTGGCACAACTGGAGAGCTGGAAGCAAAAAAAAAAGTCAACAAAACAGTAATGTACTCATGTTGGGTGTTTATGAAACTTTATAGCTGAAAAAGATGGTGAATTTCAGTATGATGGGCTTAATTCTTTTGTTTTAAGTTAAAACTGTACATTACATTCAGGCCAATGTTGATCTTGCTCATACGAAGAGTAGGACTCACACTTCTATACTAGGACTCTAAGCCTTCCTATGAAGTCTTAGGACAAGGCTTACTTGTATGGTGAGTCCTCATAATTTAATCTGCCTTCAGTGGTGCTGTTAGAGGTCCATTTTCTATACAGGTGAGGTAGGAAGTAATCTAGGTAACAGTGTGAGAGCAGTTGTTCCTATTTCTGGAGTCTAGTGTGCTACTTGGAGCCTGGCTCTGACAGGGACCTACAAGGATCATCGAAGCCCAACTCCAGCCTCTGCACGGGACATCCCCAAGAATCACACTGTGTGCTTGAGAGTGTTGTCCAAATGTTTCTTGAACTCTGTCAGGCTTGGGGCGGTGATCACTGCCATGGGGAGCTGTTCCAGTGCCCAACCACCCTCTGGGTGAAGAACCTTTTCCCAAAATCTAACCGAAACCCTCTGACACAGCTTTATAACATAACTCACAAGAACACAACATAATAATAACAGCTTCATAATGTAATTCATAATTCAGTAGCATAGAAGGATGTTACTGCAGCCTTTAGATATCAATAAACCTTACAGCAAGCATTCTCATTATCTTATTACATGTGTGTGAGGCTAACAAGGAGTTACACCAGCTGAATGGCATGATTATGAAACAAGACAAGAAAGGACCTCTTTTTCTGCCTGAGCTCATATGTTTGGATAATATTTTGATTGATTAGGATGTTATGATATTTTCTAGCCTCACAGGATTAGCATAGTCCTGATCTGACTGGGAGGAGAATGTGCAGCCATCCATATTGGTCAAGTGAATTTCAGAAAATGTCTAACTGGCTTTTGCTAATGAAATGTAGACATGAATGGTTTTGTTCCTGGTTGAGCTACAAGAAGAGCTTTTTTAATTGATTAAATTCCCAAATGTCCCTCCTGTGAAATTTTACCTTCTTTAAATTTGCCCAAGAAACATAGGCTAAAAAAACGTTCCCTGGACTCCACATACTGTTGCCCAGCAGACACTGTGGGCACAGCTCCCAGCTTAGCTGTGGGTAGTTTGGAAGTGCTGGGCCCCTTTACTTCAGGCACTCTTTGAAGGGTATGCAGGTGGAGAAACCAGAGGTGGTAACTGGTGTGAACGGGACGGAAAGCATCTCTCCTTGAATTGCTGGCAGAGTCTTTCAGGACAGGGCATGCTGAAGTTCTCTCAGGTGTGACAGAAACATGTCAAACCCATCATGCTTCCACTGAAACGTTTAAAGCTCAAAAATATTGTTAGCTGTTGAACACCCTTGTATATTGGAGAACATGTATCCAAAGGTGCTGCCCATTAGAAGACACCCATAAGAGACTTCCCTCGACCTCTAGGCACCAGTGTCATATTAGCCTGTACTCGTCTATAGCTGCTCCGTTTGTCCTGGGTGACACATGAACATGAGCAAGAGCAGCAGGTGGAGCCATGGTCTGAATCCTGTGGGAGAGAGGCAGAACGAAGAGCTTGAACTTGTGGATTTCCTTGCTCCCTAGGCGGCAGCATTTGTTTTCTTTTAAAGCTCAGTTTGTGTTCTCAGTAGAGAGTGTAGGAAAGGCTCCTTATTAATCATCATCGTTTGTACGCAGAAACGTTCTATTATGAGCTGTTTCTTCTATATTATTAGTGTCATTGATACACAGTCACTCTCATGGCAACATTAACTTGCTTTTTCCTAATCATTGAATCCAAGTATGTTTGCTGAAGGAGTCTCTATGGCACACAATTTTGTAAAAACTTTATTCTGTGGCAGATGACTCATAGATGAACCGGTGGCATTCACTGCCATGCATAGGATTGAACTGGCTTCTGTCTTAGCTTTATGATTTTCTAGCTGGTCACGTAGCAGCTACTTCATTTTCTAAACCCTAAACATTCATAGAAGCAGCATAGATTTCTGGACAGGGCATTCTTAGCTAGATGGCCTCAGAAAAAAAGTAATTTTCCTCTGTGACTAAGTGTCAGCTTTCAACTGAGAAACAAAAATAACCCATGTAAGTTCTTTTTCTGTCAAGTGGTGAGAAATTACATCAGAATCTGGTACATGTGTTTAATTTTACATTTTAAGCAGTTCTGAATACTTCTTCCTCACCATAGATGCAAAAGGGTTTAGGGTTTACCCAAAACTGTTCCGACTTAAGCTAGTCTGTTCCAGCTTCCCTGGTGACAGAGGAAAAGACACTGAAAAATCCTACCATGGGGTACTCAGGAGCAGAGAATAGCACTGGGACTGAGGTGTTTAATTTATCTAGTAATAGTCCGGTGTCATTGTAGGTTCTGTGAGATATTGCAGCAAGCCCCAAACTGCTGCCCTCAAAGGGCCTGGAAGTCTTTTTTCTTATCTGCCAGTGCCCTTCAAATATTTTGGATATCCAGCAAGCTGCAGATGTCTGTAAATGGACACCTGAAGTAAGCCCTCTCTCTTCATCTCTGTTTGAAGAGCTTCTGTCAAAGAGAGTGAGTTCTCTAGGAAGCCTTGGGGGTGTTCTACAATAGCTATCTGCATGCATACTTTTCTAGCCACCATTGGGAAACTCCAAGTAACTTGTTTCTCTCTGTGAATTTCTAAAAATCAGCTTTGCATTTACATGGGATTTACGGCTTTTCTGGGGATATTTTTTGTGGAGTAGGTGATGTTCTGTAAATTTATTAATATGCTTACCCCACAATGTTTCTGCCTTCCCTAAGCTTATGCTAGGAGACATAAATACAGATAAAATGCACATAGTGGTAGTGAAATGGTTGTGAATAGGAAGCGACATCAATGACTAATTTCTTCTACTAAGACTCATAGAATCATTTAAGCTAGAAAAGACCTTTAAGATCATGAACTGTAAACCTAACACTGCCAAGTCCCACTAAGCTGTGTTCTTAAACGCAAATCCTGACCATCAAGCAAAATGCAAATGGTGTCCCTGGTGCTGTCTCCAGTTACCAACTTGCCCTCTGCAAAGACAAGCAAGGGGGCTGGAGAGGCCATGCCAGGGCTGGCACTTCTCTGTTCCCCCAGGGTTTTCCTGGTTCAGGAGACCCACATGTACATCACACTAGTATGCTCTGCTGCAGATCAAGCCTTCTAGAAACAGAGCATGTACTATGTGAGTGCATGCCTGGAGACTCAGACACCTCAGAAGCTTTCTTTAGCCTTGCTGCATATATGCCAAGACTGACAGTGGCACCGAGTTTCTGTCAATTCAGCGTGTGCAGAACCATACATCCAATGCACATCCTGTCCAAAGCCTTCTAGAGGCAAAAAGAAGGAGGTGATGTAGTAAGTGGGAGCACGGCCACTGACTACAGTCTCTTTCTGTGTTAGGTCTCACTTACCGAGGTGGTGGGAACCCAAGGTCTCAAGTGGAGAGAACAAAGAATCATAGAATCATTTAGGTTTAAAAAGACACTTAAGATCACTGGTCCAACTGTAAACTGAACCATGTCCCTAAGTGCCACATCTGTGTATCTTTTAAATCCCTCCAGGAATGATGACTCCACCACTTCCCTGGGCAGCCTGTTCCAGTTCTTGACTGCCCCTTCCATGAAGAAATCTTTCCTAATATCCAATCTAAACCTCCTCCGGTGCAACTTGAGGCCATTTCCTCTCATCCTATGGCTTGTTAGGTGGGAGAAGAGACCAAGCCCCACCTCACTA